AAGGAATTTTCACAGCGGGAGTGGTACAGGAACTGAGCACTGAAGGAAAAATTCTGTAAGGCAATACTGAGGAAGAAATACATTCCAGTCACAGGGGTCAGATCACATGAATGCAAAAAAGGAGGAGACACGATGTCAAGTTGGAGAGATAGCTAGTACGCCATTTTGTTTGGAACATAGAATGCATCAAGAGGAATGGGGCTGGAAAGGTAGACTGGAGCCAGATTGAGTCAGGGTAAAAATGCTTTCATTTTCTTCTAGATTTGAAAGGGGACAGAGAACTGACACGGTCAGATGTGTGTACCTTGGGAATGTTACTTTGGTAGCTGTGTTGGAAGGGAAATTATTCAGCACATTTGAAGACTCTAAGATTCTTAAAACAAAAGCTCATCTTTTGATACTGATTTTATTCTGTTGAGGCTATATTGCTATGAATCATGGAACAATAAACTCCAACAGAAATCTAAATCATGGGTTACCCCAAGGGCAATGGGGAGATTTATAACAGGCGTAAATAAGCTGTGGCATATTTCCAACAATGACTCACATGGAAGAAGTGGCATAAAAGATCTAAGTCACACCCGGGGCACCCCTCTCTCATATGTGAGGCCACCAAAAAAGCTGCTTCAGGGTCAGGAGAACTATGAAGGTCTGGTTCTACTCATAAATGTAGCTCACAGATGCCACTGATGTGCTTGTTTTTATTAGTCAATCAAAGAACACAATTAGTTCAAAGCAAAGACATTCAATGAAACAACCCAGTAAAAAAAAAAAAAAGTAGTGCTAAAACATTGCCCTCTACAAACCTAAGGCACACTCTCCCACAAATACACACTATCAGGAAGAGGGATGAACATTGATAAGAATGACACTTAAGGGACACACCTGTAGAGAAGGCATGGTCTGGGTACACTATGGAGGAATAACTCATATTTCTGATGCTGCAAAGCCGCCAGTATTTTCAGGGGATGCTATCAAGGATGCTACTCCCTGCCTTTTTCTGCCACCATTCACTGGGCTTCAGCTGGAATCTCAACTGCAGGGCTACCACTTCTCCTCTAAGAGCCCTCAGAGAAGTGGGCTCTGCCATCTCTCTTTAAGCTAAAAGCCCAGAGGCTGAGCTTCAGCTCTTTTAGCAAAGGAGGCCTTAATACACCAACTCACTAGACTAGGAAAAAAAACTTCAATCCATAAAGAGAGGGGGACATACCAGCTCAGAGTCTTAGCCTCTGGGAGCTGAAGAACTTTGGAATTCCAGTCAGCCATCCAGATAAATAGAGCCTACATGAATTTAAGTCTGCCTATTGAACTCATTTCCTGCTGATAGCAGAATCAATATCTCTATAGCAATCTAACTTAAGATCAGAACATCCCCTCTAACTCAGTTAATTCCTGATTGCCAAATTGAATTCCTAACTCAAATCATCTGGAAGGGAGGGTGAATTCCAACAAGTCCAAAGGGTTGTGTGGGTTTGGGGAATTGCAGCTTTTATAAAATCCAAATCTAAATCCCCTGGATGTGGCCGTGCAAAATGAAGCCAAGAAGTCAAGGCCATTTTCTTCCACCCTCCAGGCCCCGATTCCTGCCTTTATTATGCATGTGACCAGAAACAAGCCTCCCAAGCATTGAGCTACCTTAAACATGCAAGACAAATGGTGGGGGGGAAATAGTGGTCAATCATATAGTGAGAGGGAAGGATGGGCAGTCTATGTGCTATACCAAGGAAGATTCCTAGCATGTTGGATATGAGACAATTCCACTTTTTGCTTAAAGATTCTTAGCCTTTTAGGGGCTAAGGATTTATGGAAAGACATGGAAAACTGTCACATAGGCCAAGATGGAATTGATGTTACACTCTGCACCATTTGGAGGTAGTAGTCACATTGCAGAGAACCACTAAAGTATTCAAATAAAGAATTAGCAAGGACAGAAACCAGAAGCAGAGAGACCAATTAGGAGGCTATGACTAAATAAAAAGGGATGGGAGGCTGACCTAGAGCGGCGGTAGTGTGAGTAAAGAAGAGACTTGGGAGATGCTGGACAGAGGTGGTGGAGGTGGAAATTGATTAGATATGAACAAAGAGAAAAAAGTTGAGGAGCATTCTGAGGTTATAAAACCCTGGCAGGATAGTGGTACTCTCAGCATAAACAGAGAATTTTAGCAAAGGGGCAGGTTTAAGCAAGGAAGAAAGCAGGTCCCATTTGCGGAGTTGAGGTGTCCAACAGACAGATGCAGAACGAGAGTTCCCAAGAAAGATTAGATTTGGGGACAGAGGCCACAGTGTATATCTGGCAGTCAGTTGCATGAAGGTGATAACATTTCATGAGAGGAGATGAGATTACCAAGGAAGAAAATATAGAGAGTAAAGAAAAGAGGTCCCATAACACAGTCCCTGGGGGATACCTACATTTAGAGGAAAAGAGATGGATAATGATCCAGCAAAAGAGACTGAGAAACCGAATTCAAACAGGTAGAAAGAAAACAAGGAGAGAGCAGTATAAAAGAAGTTAAGAAAAGAAAGAATACCCAGGAGAAAAGATAGAAGCCAATAGTAATAAAAGCTGCAAAAAAGTCAAGGTGGATGCAGTTAAGAGATCACTAGCGACTTTGGAGAAACCATTACTGAGCAGTGTACAATCAGAAGCCACATTGCAAGGAACAATGTGTAAACAATAAAGACACCCAACTGTATCTTAGATAAAATTTGTTGTTGTTGTCAAAGTGCATCAGAATGGTGATATGTGTTTTAGGTGCTTAATGTTATTCATATAAGTCATTTAAATAAATATTTATTTTTGAAACACAACAAATCAAAACTCCATGGTACAATATAATACCAGGAAAGACCAGCACCATCTTCATCTGTAAAATGAAAGGTTTGGATGAAGCCAACTCTAAGGTCCTGTACATCTTTCTAATTCTTCCATCTTCTATCTTGTCTTTCCTCAGCTCCTATGACCATTGGCACAATACCATCAACGGGGTAGCAGTGGATCTGATTTGCAAGGGCAGTTTTTTGGTTTTGTATTTTCGTTATGTTTTGTTTCTAAAGAGTGAATAAACCTCTCCCCTGTGACACTGAGTCTGCAAAATTAAGATCAGGAAGTGGCAGCTTTGTGGCAATGGTTCTTGAGGTCACTTAGCAGGGCCCATTAAAATCACTTCTGTCTCCTGGATAAGGTCATTGATCAACTAAAGGACCAGCCCTCTAGGGATGAGACTACTTATGTATACTTTTTCTTTTGTAAAGATCAACCAGAGACAAGCATTTACTATAAAATTATGTGAATTTAATCTCTATTCCCATCAGAATCAATAGTACATCAAAAGACAAAAAACTTGTACATAATATTTTGCACTTATTTATTTGTGATTTATACCCCAATCTGCTTCTATAAGGCTATGTCTAGACACACAAACATGTTTTTGGTAAGGTACCATCATAAGCAAATATAAAGAGTGAGGAGATAAAAGACACTAAGTCACTGCTAAATGATCTCCATGAGAGCCACAATACTTTTAATTGCAAGTGGAAAATGGAGGGCCTCTCAGATATTCCCATCTCCTCCCAATGGTTCTCCAGATTCAAAATTTCCCAAGAAAGGAAGGAGAGAGGGATTGAGGTATCAAAGGGAAGGGAGCAGATGTCGGTACTTCCTCTCTTCCTCTCTTCCTCTCTTCAGGAGAAAATGGATTTAGAAAAATTTCCCACCATCTACCAGTACTGATTTTCTGTCCACTTGGCAACTACAGTCACTGTGACGCACTGGACCTATAATAACCTAAGGACTAGACTATGAACAAATGGGTCCAGTAGAGGAAAATAGAACCATTTTAAGGCTACATACCTTGTTTTGAAAATAGTTCAAGTCAATTCAATGAGAATTTATGAAACACAGCTTCTGTGCTAGCCATGAGGGATAGAAGCCCTTAGCACAGTGCCTGGCACATAGTAGGCACTTAATAAATGTTTAATGATTGATTGATAAGAAGTCCCTTCTGAAATAAATAATTCCTGTCCTCAAAGGGCTTACATTCGATACCAGGGGTTAAAAAAGATTGATGGATTTAGAAATACGGGGATTGCGTTCAAATCTAGATTCTGCCACTTACTACCTTTGTGACTTTGGGCAAATCATTCCATCTGCCCAGGCCTCAGTTTCTTCACCTGTAAACTAAGGAGTTGGACTAAATGATTCTGAGGCCCCTTCTAGCTGTCGAGCTGTGATTCTGTGAGCCTGGGTCTCTTCCTATGAATACAGATCCAGATAATACAGCGTAATTTGGAGAGGAAGCAGTCATTAGCAACTGGAAAAAAAAAAAAAAGATGGTCCCAGTCTCATTAAGTTAGCCAAACAAATTAAATAATCGACTGGAAAACTTTCCAAAGCTTCATAAAAGGAGAAACAACCATTTGTTTCATTTCCCCATGAGTCAATAAGACCATTGCCTCATGTACATACCCAAAGAGCAAAATATAATTTCAAAAATAAGAAATCAATATCAACTTTGGAGAACTGGCATAAGAAACTGGGGCCATAAGGAAATCCCCCAAGCAGTGCTGGTCAGGAAAAACAGGAAATGAAATACTATAAAGGCTTCTGCATAAAGCCTTTCTCTTGCATTACTGTGCATATACCTGGTCTAAGCCTATATTGGGATTGTGTGTGTGTGTGTGTGTGTTGTGGAGGGGGAGGAGGATTTCCTGTGCTTGTGATGAGGAATTGTATGTATGAAAATCCCATCCACCAATGTAGATCAGCATTTCATCTATCACTTAATGCCTCTGACTATTGATTGGAGCACTGAGAAATCAGGTGGCTTGCCAAAGGTCACCCAGATAATAAGTGTCAGAGACAGGACTTGAACCCATGGCTTCCTAACTCCAGGATTGGCTCTCTATCCACTATCCCACCTGGCATCTTTTTTTTTTTGGTGGGGTGAAGGGGAAGCAATAGGGTTAAGTGACTTGCCCAGGGTCACACAGCTAGTAAGTGCCTGAGGCCGGATTTGAAATCAGATCCTCTTGACTCCAAGGCCAGTGCTGTGACCGCTGTACCACCTACCTGCCTCTATTACATGGCATTTTAAGAACTTGGTTCTGGGACTTAAGTATATGTAAAAAGTTCTTCTGTTATGTGCCCATCTTCCTCCTCATAGTGAATTTCCTAACTGTGCCAAGTGGTGTTATAAATGATTCTAGCAAAGGGTTCTGTGGATCCTTGTTTTCCTGAGAAAGTCATCACCATTGCAGAAGAGCTTTCAGTGCACTCACAGTCTGCTTTCATCCCAAGGGTTTTCCTCACACACACACCCATTGAAGCAATACCCTCCTATTTGTCCAAAGAAGTTCAACAAATAATGAACCAGGCCACTCTCCTGGCCTTCCAGTGTCTCTTGCGGAGATAATGATCTGGTAATAAGGACCCCCATCGCTTCCCGAGAGGACAGAACAAGGCATTAGGAGGTGAAAAAACTAAGCCCGATACGAAGGCAGCACCGTGGTCCTGTGCCCCAGCTGTGAGGGAGAAAAACCTGAAGTCCAGGAAGGACGCTCTCAGTGATTCTCGTCATGACTGAGTTGGATAGCGCCGCAGAGCGAGGCGATTTGGACGATTCACACTGGCAGTCATGGAGAGCTAGAAGGGAAGGAACAGATGGTAGATGAGAAGGCAGCTGAACCAAGAAGATATTATAGGACTGACTGACTGACTGATTGATTGATTGACTGATTGGTCCAGGCAAGAAGAGAACGGCTGTCCCGGAGAGTCTGCAAGCTACGTCCGTCCTTCCCCACTTCCCTCTGAGCCCCCTGTTTGCCACTCTATGCACACTTTGCTGTTTAAGTTGGGAGAAGAAATCGAGTTATCACAAAGACAGGAGCGTGGTAATGAAAATGTTCATCCTCTCCAATCCCCACCCAACCTGCAAGTGACACGAGATATTTTCTGCAACATGAAGCATCGTGAGCTTGCTTTATGATGGCTTAGCCCAATGGCCACCTTTTCTGTGAAACATTCCTTCATATACACACCCTGAGTGACAACGCTCTGCTCTTCTCAAATGTCCTTGGCCTTGTGTCTCCACTCTGCCCCACCAGCAGAATGTAAGGCTCTAGAGAGCAGGAATTATTGCATTTTTTTCTGTTTCTAGGAGTTTGCACATAGCAGGCACTTAATATGCCTGCCAATCAGTTAAGTCATTAAACACTTAGTACATGCCAGGCACTTTGCTAAGTGCTGGGGGTATGAAGAAAGGCAAAAACACATTCTCTGCCCTCAAAGAACCCATTTGTTGAATGGAGTTGAATCAGATTGAAAAACTGAAATCTTAACCTCTATTCAGATACTCAATGACACCATAATGCTTGGGAATATCCCCACATTACTGGCAGCAATGGTGCTATTTTCCTTTTGACTACAATGCCAAGTGGAAGCCTCCTTACCTGAGGTACCTGGGATGGGTTGTAGAGAGGGACAGCATTTCCCAAGTTGGGAGGAGGAGATAGGCCACTGGGATTGAAATGAAGTTCGTGGGGGGCACCCTGGAACAAAAGAGAAAAAGAAAAATGGATCCCTAGTTTTCTCCAGATCAAAAAAAAGAGTCTCTTGTATATCTGGTCAATGGAGTTCATAGTAAGAGCTTCATATAGAAACCAAGGAATCCCAACCTAATAGAAGGAGTAAGAACACGGTTGGAGAACTTCTGGAAGGAGGACTTTGCATGGCTATTAAGAAATCCATGTGACCCTTGAATCAACTATAAAGAAAAGTTAACTGCCATTATAGATTATATTAGTATGATACAAGCTATCATTATGTTAATTATTATATATTATAAAGCATTAACATGGCATTGAATAAATATAAACATTAATAATAATAATAGTTAACATTTACATAGCACTTCAAGATTTGGAAACACTTTGTATATGTTCTTTATTTTATCCTCACAACAACCTCTGGAGTACTATTACCCCCAATTTACAAATGAGGAAACTGAGGTTGAGAGAGGCTAGGTGACTTACTCAAAGTCACTTAGGGTCACAAAGCTAGTGATATATATATATAATTATTATTATTATTATTATTACTATTATCCTTTGAAAGCACAATCCCAAAACATGACAAGGACAATGGAGAGACAAATAAGAAAGCTCTAACCAACCTGTAATAGAGAAAAATGTTTTCACGTGATGACGGTGAAATCTATAGTAAATAATAATGTCAACGCTTCACTGAGTCCCTTTGTAAATGAAACAAGTTAATTTTAGCTCCTAACCTTGGTCAAGTTGGCCATTACTAGATCAAAACATGAGCATCATGTACATTAGACTCTACAGAGAAGCAAGGGAAAGTTTTCATCTCCCCAATAAAGGTTCTATGTCTTGGGACCAAAAGGCACTTATGTACTTTGCCTGGAGGATTTTTCCCAGTGTCCCATCAGTTAATCATTTCCAGAAAGAAGTAGAACCCTTGAAGGCAGAACTCCTCCCCGTCTCCCCAAGACCTCACAGTCTCGCAGTCAAGGCAAGCTTCAAGGCACTGCCTGGGTTAATTTCCCCTTAATCACTTACCTCTGTTGCAGACAGATTTTTATTAATCATGGATCCTCTTCTTTCACCCTCACCTAGAAAGCAGTAAATCCGTGAAAATTCACACCTGGTCCAGGCTCAGGGACTCCCCCATTCCTAGAAATCCTCCAAGGAGCAGAGTTGTGCCAACATACTTAGAATTATAGTGACCTCTGACGTGGTCACATCCCAGAGGAAGAGGAAAAAGAAGAGGAAGGTCTCAAAAGGCATCATAAGGACAGGACTGTCACTGACTTTGTGACAGTGTTCATCATTGCAAAGGCTTTTTTTGGTGTGTTCTATGCTTAAGACTTCAGCTTACAGCAGAGTCATTATGATAATGCATAAGACTTGTCCCAGGGACAGGGAAACACAAATAAAAATACACAAGGAAAGCTGATGAGGTAATCAAAGTCCACAGAGCTTTAATGTTCTGCCATAAAGGGCTGCCAACTGCCTCTCTTGTTCTCCTTCCTTCCAGCACAAACAGTTTTGCAATCACAGTATAATGGCTGGCTTAGGAACAGCAGCTCCTAAGCCTGAGCTATCACAACTTTTATTTATTGCCTACTGTTATCTCCATTATGGGGAAGAAACTGGTGCCCTCATTAAAAGGCTATTGACAGCAGCTGCTCCCTAGAAAGGCCACACACTCTCATAGCACAACACCCTTGATTCCCTGAACGTGGTCATCAATCAATAAATAAGCATTCATTAAATGCTTACTCTGTGTCAGGCACTGCTGGGGATTCAAAAATAAGTGAAACAGTCCCTCCCCTCAGGGAATTTACATTCTAATCAAGGGGACAACATAGACACATAAAAATATATAAAGAATATATACAAGAAGAAAGGAAAACTGTCTGGGGAAGAAGGCAATGCACTAGCTACTAGAAGGAGCAGGAAAGGCTTCATGAAGAAGGTGACACTTGAGTGGTCTTATATACTACCATAAAATCAGATTTACCTGGACTTCTGGAGACAGTGTCGGCACTGAAGTGAGGCAGAAAAAAGGGAGTAGATGACTCAGAGGGGGTTGTGCTAGCCAAGGAAGGCTGAGGTTCAGTGGGTGTCTTCTACAAATGAAAAAATGTTAATTAAAATGCTTCTTAAGAAAAAAGCCAAATGAGAGGAAAAAGAAAAAAAAAGAAAAACAAGAAGATTATGAAAAGAAAGTCGGCCAATTGGAAAGGGAGATCCAGAATCTTAAGGAAGAAAACAACTCCTTAAACATTAAAAGGGGAAGGGGAGGAGAAGTTATAGGGCAAGGGGAAGCCAGTGAAGTTATAAAAGACCAAGAAATAATAAAACAAAATATAAAGAATGAAAAAATAGAAGAGAATATGAAATATTTCATAAGAAAAACAACTGATCTGGAGATCAAGAAGAGAAAATATAAGAATGATTGGACTACCTAAAAGTTACTCAATACAATAACATAAGAAATAATTAAAGAAAATTGTCCTGAAGCATTAGAACAAGAGGGGAAATTACAAATAAAAAAAAATCCATTGATCATCACCTGAAAGATCCTACAGGAAACCTACAGGAATATCATAGTCAAATTCCAAAACCCCCAGTTCAAGGAGAAAATATTATGAGCAACAGGAAAAAAATTCAAATATGAAGAAGCCTTAGTTAAAATTGCACAAGACCTAGCAGAGGTGACACTAAAAGACTGCAGGTCTTGGAACTCTATATATCAAAGAGCAAAAGAACTGGGGTTGCGGCCAAAAATATCATACCCAGCAAAGTTAAACATAATCCTCAATGGGGGAAAAATGGACATTCAATGAATTGCCAGACTCTCAGGATTTTGTTGCAAAAAAACCTGAACTTAATAGAAAATGTGACATACAAGATCCAACAGAAATATAAGATACACATCAAAGACTAATTACAAGGGACTCAGTAAGGACAGACTGTTTAATTTTTAAATGAGGAAATGTAAAACATATGTCTGAGATTGCTATTAGTAATTGGGTAGTTTGAAAGAAAGATTGGGGAAGACCTGAATATGATGTGATTCTAAAAATAACCATTTGGGAAAAGGTAAAAAGAGTAATTATCTTATACAAATGAGGTGTAAGAGGAAGAATTGACACAGAAGAATTAGATGGGGAGAAGGGGTGGTAGTTCTGGACTCCTACTTTCATCAGGAATGGGTTAAAGAGGGAACAATACATAAAACATACATATGTACATATATACATACATACATGCATATATGTATAAAAGTTTTCTAAATTCAGAAAGAAATAAAAGGTTAGGAAGGGGGAGAGGATAAGGGAGGGATTTTTAAAGGGAACCCTACTCACATCAGATCTGGTTAAAGAGAGAATATATACATTTGGAAGGGAATAGAAGTCTTCTATATTTATAAAGCAATAAGAGGGTGAGGGAATAGGATGGGGGGGTATAGAAGGGAGTCTAGATTAACGGCAATGGAATAAAGAGGGAATAATATATATTTGGAAGGCTATAAAAGTCTTCTAAATTCAGATAGAAACAAGAGGATATGGGGAGGGGGAGGGGAAGAGGATAAGGGAGGGGTCTTTGGAGGGGGGTAGGTTAAATAATAGGAGGGCAAGGTAGCAGATAAAAGTAAAGCAGAGGAGTCAGGAGAGATAGGAAATAAGAGATGCACACAAACATAAAATAAAGATCAGGAGTTGAATTTATGAGGGAAATAAAGCAGGAGTAGTAATCATGATTTTAGACAACGTTAAAGCTAAAGTAGATTTAATCAAAAGAAAAAATAGGGAAAGTATAGTCTATGTCAGTCATATTAATCAATATTGTTTTAGATTATTTAAACTAGACAGTACAAGGTTGGAATATTGCTGAAGTGTAGAAAATGACGAGTTGGTAGACTTAGAAAAATATGGAAAGACTTGGACTTTTGAAAGAAGAGGTTATCTACCCTCAGAGAAACAGAAGACAAACAAATATAGTATGGTCTTATATAGATGCATATGAATGGATATGTGTACATATGTGTACGATTATAGATATTTATGTATATGTAGGTGTATGTAAGTGTGTATATATATACACATATGTGTATATATGTGTGTGTGTGTGTGTGTGTGTATCTGTATATACATATGCATATATATTGCCACCTACTTACAGCCTTCAGGTGGGGGTGGGAAGGTGTGAGGAAGTGGGGAAAAAAGAACAAAGTAAAAAGTGCACAGCAGAGACCAAAAGAAAACTTATAAGAAAGCAAAGAAAAGATGTACACCTCTCAACACAATGTGTAGTATTTATCATAAGGCTTTCTTGAAATGGAAATTTTATTGTTGTGTATTTTGGATCCTCTCTTACGTTCTGCTGTGCACATGGCAAATCTTTTTTTTCTTTTGTATTTAAGTTTAGGTTTCTTTTTTCTTTTCTTATTGTTTATTTAAATTTTAGTATTTAAGTTTGAGATAAATTAATTAAAAGAAACAAAATGGGCAAAATGTGCTTCAAGGAAAAAAAACAAAGCCATGTCAATTCTATAACAAAATATAACACCTAGAATACCATAAAACTTTGAAACGAGACATGTTAGTTTAGCTTCTTGTCATTCTAATCCATCCTCTGTTCTGCTACCAGATTCATCTTCTAAACACACTGCTTTCATTTCACTCCCTTTCTCAATAAACTACTGGCCTACCATATCAATATTCCTCTGTCAGGATTTGAAAGGTCTTCACAACACCGGGGTGGCATAATGCAAAAATCACTTGATTCAGAATCATGAGGCATCTTAATGGCAAAGTGGACAGAGCACCGAACCTAGAGTCAAGGATACCCAAGTTCAAATCCAGTCTCAGACACTTACTAGCTGTGTGACCCTAGACAAGTCACTTAATCTTATTCTGCCTCAGTTTCATCAATTGTAAAATGGGGATAATAACACCACCCATCAGACAGGGTTCTTGTGAAGATCAAATGGAAATAATACTGGTAAAGTGCTTAGCGCATAGTAGGCATTTAATAAATGCTCATTCCCTTCACCCTTCATGAAATTTGAGTTTAGATTCCAGTTCCAATATCTATTAGTTATATTACCATAGGCTAGTTACTTAATCACTCAACCTCAGTTTCTTTGCCTATATAATAGGGATTATAGGATTTGCACTACCCACCTTAAAGAACTACCAATCCTTGAAGCCCTACATATGTGTGTGTGTGTTTAATTGATATTATGAAGTATAACTATTACCAATCCAACTTTATTTTCTACTATTCCCCATTCCTGTCAAACTGGGAAGAGACAAGACATCAGCTGATACCTCTGAGGTACCAAGGAAGTTCTCCGAGTGGGTGAGAGGTTGGAATGAAAGCCTTGTGTGTCCACTTGGTGATTACCTCCACATCAGAGCTGTCAGAGGAGTCCTCTTCCACAGAAGGCATCTTACCGGGTTTTGATCGAAACCAACCAAACCATCCAAACCCATAGCCCTGAGGAAAGAGGGAGGGGGAAACATATTGTCCACTGAGTTGTTTCTCTCCAGCAATCCAATACAATGTGATAACAAGCTTTGAGCAAGAAGATAAGGAATACCATGGATAATGGTGATTCCTCCACCCATGCTGTGCCACTTGGAAGAGAAGAGAAGAGGGGACAGAGCTTTGACCTCACCTTGAGACAGGGGTGGGAGGAATAGCTAGCTTTGGGAAGATTAAGTTCTTACACCCATTCCAGGTGAACAGAAGAAAATTAGAGTGTTTAGCCAAGATGATCTAGAGTTCTGCTTATTGCCCTGGAGCAAAGAGAAAGACACTTCACAGAACCATGGGGCCAGGGAAAAAGGAACAGGTTCTTCTGGGAACATTCATGGCCTCTTCCAGATAAGGTGAAGAACAGGAAAAAGAAATTGCAGCTCTTCCTCAAACCAATATTTTCACTTCCCCTTTTTTCTCTGTAGAGAATGGTAGTGATGTCAAAGGAAGAAGGATCGCGTTAAGCCATAAAGAACTAGGCCCTGCAAACAAGAGGGTTGTGGACCTCAAGTCTATCTGCAGGCCTAGTGGAAGGAGTGCTGGACTCAAAGTCAGAAGCCAACATCTCTACTGCTTACTAGCTATGTGACATTGGGCAAATCACTTAATCTCTGAGTCTGTTTCCTCTCCTCTAAAACGGGAATAATAACATGACTCACAGGGTGGTCATGAAGGTAGAGCTTTATTTTCATTATTGTTATTATTATTGTTGTTGTCATTAATTATAATAATAGCTAACATATAATGCTTTGAGGTTTGCAAAGCACTTTACACTTATTATATCATTTGAACCTCACAACAACCCAGTGAAACAGAATCTATCATTATTATTTTACAGATGAGGAAAATGAAGCAGAAAGAGGTTAAGTGACTTGCCCAGGGTCAGACAGCAAGTATGTCTGAGGCAGGATCCAAATTCAAGTCTTCCAGCATTTTGAACCATAGCATACTTTATAAATGTGAGTTATTATTATTGAGGCTCAGAGATAAATTAAAATCCCCAAAGTACAGAGCAGATACAGAGGAGATATAATAAGAGGTCAGCCCCTCCCACCTTTGCACTCTTTTCCTTCTTGCTCTTTACATTATCTCGGACAGCTTTCTTTTCATCATCGTCTGAGGAGTCTTCTTTTTCTTCATCTAAAGAAATGGTGGAACTCTCAGAAATGCTCCGTACTCTAGAAGCCACTGAGTCCTGAAACAAGAAAGATAACATCAGGTCACTTGGTGGGCTGATGCTAAGGAAGCAAAGAGGGATAAAGGGAAAGTCTAAGACATCCCCCACCCAGTCTATAGGAGCCGAGAAACATTTTTTCCTCTCCAGTCATGCAGGAAGGCTCATGAAGTCATTTCAGCTCGTGGCAAAGAATTATCACAAACATAGGGACTAATATCAATTGTGTTTCAATTTGCAGAAAATAAATCTGAGAGTCCTTGCCTATACTAGACTAGAAAATGGTCCTAAGCCCTACTGCAGTCTTCAGGTAAAGTCCCTTGCTTAGAGCCACTCAGGAAAACATGTCCTTCCACTTTTCCCCCTAGCAAACTGAAAACCACAGCAAATGCTATGATGTGATGCCAAGTCCAATCAAAGCTGGCTTGGATTGGGTGAACTAGCTTTCCTTCTCAGTACAATCCCTTCAGAGAAATTGGCAGGGTTAGGAATAAACAACAATCACAGACCATTCTTTCCCGGCCTTCATAACCTAAAGAATGAGCAACTGTGGCTATAGAAAGAAATAAAAGAGAAGTATCTTCTTGGAAGCAGTTGGAAGAATCTTTGGGTAGTAAGCACATCTGGCCAAACAGGCAGATCTTAACCAAAAACTTCCATTAGATAAACAGTATAACCTGATTTAACCATTGTAGGCCTGCTCTCACTCAGAATTTGGAAATTACCTTCTGAATCTTAGGGTACTGGTACTGGTACTGGTTCGATTTTTGAGATTCTGGGATATCCTCTGTGATACAAAAACAAAATAACATAGTTTAGACATTTACTTTCATTATTTCCTGAAATTGTCCACCAAGCTACTGTCACTCAAGGGCAGGCTCAATAGGGTTACTCAACCCAAAGGTCATTTCAGGGGTCTCCTAGAACTACAAGGATAATTCTCCCGCTCGAGTTTCCAACCATGGCAGGAGGAGGTTTTAGCCCAGCCCCTTTCTGCCTCCTGGATCCAAGGCTATGTCTCTACCTTCGAGCTCAGTGAGACCTTAGGCTGGACTTCTGCATCTAATAAAAATGGTTCCCCATCCCATTCTCTCTAACTTGACCCCTGCTGCCATTTTGGACAGTAGAAAAAGTTAGAGATGCTAATTTTTGTCTATCTCTTCTCTTCCACTTATAGCTCTTTTCTGGCACAGTCAGCAACCTTATCCAGGCATCAGGCTGCATATGAAGGAACTTAGAATAAAAAATTAGGAAAAGTTTTCTGGATACTTTTTCTCTTATCCTCATGTGTAAATGCTTGACCTTCAGAAAGAGGTCCTGCCTTACATGAGAGTGAGGTTAAAAAAATGAATGGCATTCTCTCCCCACAGGCTGGAGCATCACTCCCAAAACCCTCATAATTCAAGAGGTTTTCCTTCCCCACACCAATTCTCCCCATTCCAGCTGGGAGTTAGAGGACCTAAAACAGTTTTTCATCCTTAAAGGGCCTAATATCCAAAGAGAAGTTGTTCTGAAGTCAGACATTCCACTTGCAGAAGTCAGCATCTTTATCAGCTCTGGCTCCCATCTGTACTTATTACCCATTTACCCTCTTATCTATAACCAGGTCCCCTAAAATCTTTTGGCACCAAAAACTCTTCAGCACAGATACCAGGCGCTTACCATGGGGTAGGTGTGCCTTCTGATCTTCCTCTGGCTGTATCATTGCAGAGGATACCGTCATTGTCTCTGACCTGGCATAAAGAGGCACTGGTGTGCCTGGATGCCCTGGTCCTTCCCCAGCAGGACTCAGGCCTAGCTGTAAGGGAGGATGCTGCTGCAGATCTGGTTGGCTCAGACCTGTACCCTCAGGTGGAAGCTGCATGGATGAGGGATACCTGAAGGGTTCTGAGTTGCCCTGACCCTGACTGGGATCTTGGTAGAGGGTGTTTTCTGAGGACAAAAGGGAAAGAAGAATGAGATGCTCAGACGCAGGTTTTGATTAAGCCAGTCTAAAATTATTCATTCTAATGTCTTTATTAGGAAGTAGTGATAAGGATATCATAATAATAATGCTGCTGCTGATAATAATATTAATATTAATAATAATATCCTACAATTAAGATAAAAGGCTTTAAAACTAGAAGGAACCTTTTAAGTCATCTAGTTCAATCCTCCCCCATTTTACTGATGAGGAAATCGAGGCCCATAAAGATTAAATGACTTGGGGCAGCTAGGTGGTGCAGTGGAGAGAGCACCAGCCCTGAAGTCAGGAGGACCTGAATTCAAATCCAGTCTCAGACCAGTCTCAGACCAGACACTTGACACTAGCTGTGTGACCCTGGGCAAGTCACTTAACTCCAATTGCCTTGCAAAAGAGAAAGAGAGAGAGAGAAAGAGAGATTAAATGACTTGCCCAAGGTCACACAAATAACTAATAGCAGAGCCAATATTCAAATCCAGGTCCTCTGACCCCAAATCCAGTGCTCCTTCACAGCACTATATTTTTTAGTCGTCAGTTTGCTTCCAGGTACATTTTCTCGTTTGATGATGAATGGAAACTAAAGCTGTACCGTCCCATTTAAAAGCATCCTCAGGGGCTCATTTACTTAAGCCTTGGAAAAGCAACCAACGAAAATCTCAAGTCCAACATCAGAAATTCATAGATGGCTTTCTGAATAGAATGAAGCCAACTCTCCTTTAAGTGAGGTTCCCAAGGATGTGAGTTCACAAAGAAATCTGAAATCTGAAGATAACCCAATCTCATTACTGTGAATTCTTACTGATCCCGCTAATAAGCAGGACTGACAAAATGCAAGAAGTTCCATCGTTTTGATTTCCCTTGCTCGTCTCCTGATGAAGGGGATAAGCAACAGGGTAATGACCAAAAGGCAGGTAAAAAGAGAGAGGAAAAGAGAATCTGCATGATCAAATGTTGCCCCCTGGAAAGAGCATGGGCTAACTCCTCTCGCTGTGTGTGATCTTGGAAAAGGAGCTAAGTTTCTCTAGGGATACCTATGACTACCTGCCTCTCAATGATATTTTAAATCCTAATGAAGGTGTTTGTAAAAGCACTTTGAAAATAACCATGCTATACAAACACTTATTCATTCTATATATGTGATATTAAATCAACCAATAAAAATGTAGTTTTCAAGCTCCAAAGCTTCCAAATCAAAAAGAAAAAATATTCCAAGTGGTAAGCAACAGAGAGATTGCACGCAAGGGAAGGGTAAGGGAAAGGAAGTGGGAGGGGCGGTTGCAATATGATAGGCTGAAAAACAAAAGAAAACGGCTTGCATTCAAAAATAATTTTATCTTTCAAAAAATTCCAGTCAGAATAATCACACAGGACTATTCATTAGCAATGAGGAAGGCGAAAAGCTATTAGAATTGATAGCTTCCAAGCACCTCCTCAGAAAACTAGAGATGAGCACAATCTTCAAAATGCAAGTGCAGAGAACAAAAGAAACTTATGAAAAGTAAAGGAACTTAAGTGTTTGAAAGGGGGAAGTGATGGTCTAGCTCAGAGGGCCACATGTGGCCCTCTAGGCCCTCAAGTGTAGCCCTTTGACCGAAAGTTTGGATTCAGTCAAAGGGCCGCACCTGAGGATCTAGAGGGCCACATGTGGCCTCAAGGTCGCAGGTTCCCCCACCCCGCCACCCCCGGTCTATTATTTATTTTGAAGGTGAGGAGGGAAGGAGAATGGCAGGGGCCAAGGTATGATGCCTTTGGAATAGGATTAAGGTAAAAACAAAAAGTGACAAGTTTTGAGCTTGATTATTCTGAAAATAAAGAAACAAAAAGGAAATACCCTAAAAGGAGGTAAGAGGAAGTAACAACATTTCTTGCAATGGAGGCACCATATGTGAAGGTCATTCAAATATAGAGATAAGAGGTTAGGAAGAGTGGATAATCTCATGAATCTCACTCTTACCTGGGCCAAACAAAGGAAGCTTTAAAAAGCAATAACAGTGGTAGAAATACAAAAAAGTAAGCAAAGGAAGGGGAGGGACTGCAATGGGCAGATTTAGCAGGGGTGTTTGAACATGAAAATGGGGGTGAGGGATAGAATTGCCTCAAATAAAACAAACTACAGTAACAAACTACTGGGCAAGGCATAATGATTTGGGTCTGGAAGTTAGAAGGGTAAGAAGGAAGAAGAAAGGGATTGAGTTGTTTAAGCAATATAAACTTCAGGTACTTGCGTTTATTTCTGTGTTGGGTTGTTTTACTGTTTTTTTAGAAGGAGAAATACAAGGTGTCCCAAAAGTCTTGGTGCATTTTTAAGCTTCTAAAACTTAAAAGTACCTTAAGATTTTTTGAGATTCCCTGTATTACAATAGAATTTAATGGAGTCAGGATTCAATTTAAAAATCACTCAACTAACAAGTATTTATTGTATGCCTATTGTGTGTCCTGAACTGATACAAAAGATATGGCATAGTTTCTGCTTCCAGCCCTCAAGAAACTTATTAAACTTCAAAGATCTTAACAAAATAGCCAAAACAATTAGAGAAAAATAGAGGGCAGTATGTAAATAAGCAATCACTTTTATAGTATCAACTACTAATGTCATAATTCAGAAATGGACCATATTACTCAGAAAAAGCTTCTTGGGGGAGGCAAAGTTGAATGAGGCCTTGAAGATAGGTAGGAATTGAGTAGATAAAGAATTCATTCCCATCAGATGGAAGAGTGGCACCATCATCATCATCATTATATATAGAATAAGAAAAAGATCTACTCTTTCCTTGGTGTAGGAATTCCTTTCACACAAAACATGTCTATGACTTAATAGAAAAGTTCTAGGAAGTCTCCTGGGTATACATAGAGGTGAAGTACCTTGTCCAAATAACACACCTGGTGAGCGTCTGTGATGGGGCTTGAACTCAGCTCTTCCTGATGCCAAGACCAACACTCTATTCACCATGCCATGCTGCCTTTTGGGGGAGGGGAGAACCATTCCTTTGATTTCATTGGTTTAGAGAACTCACAGTGAGTAAAGTCCTACCAACACAAATCACCTATTCTACAACTTACAGTCTTGGGGGCACTGAAAGTTTAATCCAATTGACCAATCAATAAGAATTTATGAAGCATCTACTATAGTGTCACAAACTGGGGATACAGACTTGTCCAATGCCACACAACTAGTACATGTCCCAGGGGGGATATGAACCCAGGTTTTACTTACTATAAGCTGATATTCTCTATCCACCATACCACACTGCCTCTCATTTACATTATATCATATTATATTATTATATCATGTTATTATATTAGGTTAGATTAGATTAGATTAAACTAATCAGCCCTACTAGTTAATTATACACATGTAACTTTTGGTATAGATACCTGCTGTTGACTGTCTGTCTTTTAAAATATCTGTGTAAATGAAATCAGGATCACCAAAGTCTTCTGCCTTTTTCGCAAACTTTAAAAATAACAAACAAAAAAAGGAGGATAAAAAGGAGAGAATTAGGTATTTTACAAACTTGAAGCCAAAAGGAAACTCATTATAGCGATAGAAATTCCTAGGCAATTGACAATGAAGGAGAAGCTAAATAGGTCACTAACAACACAATGGCCTCTGGGTATTGACCCATGATGCCATGTCCTTATCCTTCAGTTCCCCAGAAGAATAATGTTGATTCACTTTCCAGGAAGTGGTTGGAGACAACAGAGTCTGCCCTCCCACGTATTATTCACTGGAAAGTGAAACAGTAAGGTTGGAGAGAAGTGAGATCAAAGCAGCACAAATCTGGTGCTGGAATCAATGTTAAAAACCAACTAGTCCAATCCCCCTTCACCTTACCGAGGCCGAGAGAGATTGAATGACTTGGCCCAAGGTTAGATCATCAACATGGCAGAGCCAGGATTCAAATTTGAGTCCTTTGGCTCACAGGCCTGCTGGTAAATGTTTGACAACATATATATAGATATAGTTATAAATATAGATATAGAAATATAGATATACACACATATACACACACATCTATATGCACATACACAAGTATGTATACACACATATACACACATATACATATTACATATTTATGTATATGTATCACAAGTTTAATTGGCATTATTAATATTTAACTATATATACAAATATGCATATATGTAAAAACACATATTTCATCTGCGTTATTAACACTTTCACCATCACTTTAAGTCTAGACAATCAACAAAACAATAAACCAAGCCCTGATTTGTGGCTTGCTGATTTCTGAGGTGTAAATACTTAAATGGAAATTTAATAATCAGCTCTCATGAGCAAGTTCAAGCTAGCTGTAGCACAGCCCTGCTCTGGCTCCAAATCCAGAATTCTCTCTGCTGCACTCTAGAACACACTGCCTTGAGAATATAGCTTCCCAATGCTACTCCACACTTTGGGAAGAGGCAAAGGGAGCCACCCTTACATACCAGAACTAGAAGAGTGGATCTAAAGAATACTGAGGAAGTTGGAAAAATTAAGGAAGTATCCCTCCTTTCTGTAAAAAGTTCCCCTTTTATCCTCTCTGCAGAGTGAAAATTTGGTGAATTTCTCTTAAGGTCTAGGTCCGTTCCAGCTATTATGACTGACTTATAATTTTAAAAACAAGAAAGAAATGAAGGGAAAACTTCTAAGGAATTATCTCCACATTACCCAGAAGTGTCATTTCTAAAAGAGGAGGGTCCCCTGAGTACTATTTCTTTTTAAATCTCAAGTCCCTCTTCAAGTTTTTGTTTGCACTTATTCTAAGACAATTTTCACCTAACAGCTTTTCCATTAACTCCAAAACATTAGCAGAGCTTCAGTGGCCATGACCTACTGCTTTAGGGAGTTCAAAACGGAGAGTCAAAGATCCACAGCTCGAAGGAGTTTCCCCCATTCATTAGGCACCATTGTTGTTGTTCATAGTTTGTTTTTGAAGAGGATCAATGACGTTATGGGGTGATAGCTCTGACTGGCATGTGAACTGTAGTTAAGTGAGGCAGAATTGTACAAAGACATCAACCTCACTCTCTCTTCCAGAGTCCAGCGACGAGACAAAAGTCAAGATGACAGGCCAGGATGTAGTGGATGACTTTGGCGTCTTCAACATTTGACCAAGCTCTAAGCACTCCACAATGCCTGCTTCAGTCACCTTTATGGCCATTAAAACAAATTGTTCTCATCCACCCATTCCACTGGGAAAAATCTTCATGTGCTTGGGGTAGACATCCCCTAACTCAACAATGGGTTTGAAGCCTGTTGGTTAATCTCAACCTCATTTAGCCCATCTGCCAAGATGGTTTAGCAGGGTGTGGCCACGGCACATGCTAGAGCTTTTTGGAGTCACCGGTAAGAGTTGATCATCATTACCATGACGACAGAGAAAGGGCAGTTGAGCTGAGTGGGCAAGAATGTATCAGCTACTGCCTACTGTCATAACCCTACCAGGGTCATTTCCCACTATGATGTTAGGCATCAAATCAAATTAGGAAGAAACCAGGCTTTGGGACTATTGCTCCTTAAACTGGCCAATATCAAATAAGATAACATTTGTAAAGTGCTTTGCAAACCTTAAAGTGCTATATAAAAGCTATCATCATCATCATCATTATCATCATCATTAATATCATTATACTATAACCACAGAACTGATTATATCAACACAAGAGACAACAAGAGAGCTAGACAGCACCTTACTGTGGTGGATCAGTCCAGCTCTGAGGATATGAGTATTGCCTATGTTTCTCCTTTTGTGTTCCCCCAAGGCCAATGATAGCACAATGGATAGAGCACTGGGGATACAGTCAGGAAGACCTGAATTCAAATATAGCCTCAGATATTTACTAGCTCTGTGACCTTGGGCAATCCACTTAGCCTCTGTTTGCCTCACTTTCTTCTACTGTAAAATGGTGATCACAATAGCACCTACCTTAAAGGGTTATTGTAAAGATCAAATGAGATCATATTTGTAAAACCACTTAGCACGGTCCCCTGCATATAGTAGGTGTCATATAAATGCTTATTCCCTTCCCCTCTCCCAGTATTGCATGTGCATCCTTCAAAACAAAACAAAAACGTGTACTTTAAGCAACCTAGGGTCTTAGACACAGCATCCACCAACAGGCTACATGGTGATGCCTGAGCTACGAAGTCAATGGTAGCTGTTATCTTTAACACTTTGTGAAGCCTTTCCTAGTCTATCATGTGTGCCCATGATATTAAGTGGTGAAATCCCCAGCACACTCACAGTTACCAACCAAGAACAAGGAAAAGGAGCTTCTCAGGAATGAGAGCAAAAGGACCTTCTGGAAATCCTGCCAACTTCCCAAGGACATTAGACATGATCTTAAGTGTAGGCATCACAGGCCATCTACATGGTACGATAAACAAGATACCTTAAAGAAGACCTTCCCCACCCCGCCAATTGGAGATGCTCTAAAATTCTTTTAACTGTGGCTATTGTCTTCCATTCCCTTAATGAGAAACGAGGCTCTGAGAAAGGTGATACGTTAACTTCAGTTGGCTTTTAAAGGCAGCTTGTCAAGTCAACAAGCATTTATTAAGCACCTACTGTGTGCCAGGCATAGTGCTAAGTGCTGGGAATACAAAGAAAGGCCAAAGACAGTCTTTGTTGTCAAGAAGCTCAGTCTAATGGAGGAGACAATATGCTATTAACTATGTACAAACATGATATAGAAAGGATAAATTGAAAGTAATCTAAGAGAGAATGCACCAGCATTAGCACAGAATCAGGAAAGGTTTAGTAAAGAACGTGGGATTTTAGCTGAGGAAGCCAGCGAAGCCAGAAGGCAGAGAATATTCCAGGCATAGAGGATAGCCCATGAAAATGCAAAGAGTCAGGAGATGAAGTACAAGGAATCCAGTGTCACTAGATCTTAGAATCTATTGAAGGGAGTGAAATGTAAGAAGACTGGAAAAGTAAGAAGGGATCAAGTTTTAAGGCCATGAAAGGGAAAGGGAAAGGGAAAGGGGGGTGACATGGTCAGATCTATATTTTAGGAATTTGAGAAAGATGGATTTGATAGCTGAATGAAGGATAGATTGGAGTGGGGAGAAACTTGAGGTAGGCTATTGCAATAGTCCAGGTGCGAGGTGATGAGAGCCTGCACCAGGGTGGTATCAGGGTCAGAGGAAAGAAGGGGGGCATATACAAGAGATGTTGCAAAGGTAAAATCAATTCTTAGCAATAGATTGGATATAGAAAGAGAGAGAGAGAGAGAGAGAGAGAGAGAGAGCTAGATTGTGAGCCTGAGTTACCTGGAGGATAGTACTGCCCTCACTATCAGGGAAGCTTGGAGGGAAAAATAATGAGTTCAGTTTTGAACTTATTGAGTTTGCATTTGAGATGGCCAATAGGCAATTGGAGATGCAAGGCTGGAGGTCAGGAGAAAGGTTAGGGCTGGATAAATTGATCTGAGAATCATCAGTGTAGAGATGACAATAGAATCTAAGGGAGCTGATGAGATCACCAAACAAAAGAATGTAGAGAAAGGACAGAAGAGGCCTCAGGATAGAGCCTTCTTGGCAGGCCTGATCTGGATGAAGATCCAGCACAGGAGACTGAGAAGATGTAGTTCAGATAGTTAGGAGGAGAACCGAGAGAGAGTAATGTCTCAAAAAGCTAGAGAGGAGAGAGTATCAAGGAGAGGAGAATGATTGACGGTGTCAAAGGATGCAAAAGCCAAGAAGGATGGAGACTGAGAAAAGACTGAGATCATTGGTAACTGTGGAGAGAGTAGCTTCATTTGACTGAAAAAGCTGGGTGGTATGATGGATAGAGCCCTGGACACAGCGTCGGGGAAACTTGATATTGAGTCTCGTATCAAGCACAATCCATGTGACCTTGGGCAAATCACGTCAGCCAACTAGGTGAACAAAGCTGTTGGCCTGGAATCAGGAATACCTGAATTGGAATCCTGCCCCAAACATTCACCAGAGTTATTCTGAGGATCGAATGAGATAACATATGTAAAGTGTTTTACAGATCTTAAAGGGCTATATAAAATGTTAACTTTTTGTTTATTCATTATTTTTCATCATGTCCAACTCTTCGTGACCCCATTTGGGTTTTTCTTGGCAAAGATACTGGAGTGGTTTGCCATTTCCTTCTCCAGCTCATTTTACAGATGAGGAAACTGAGGCAAACAGAGTTTTAAGTGACTTGCCCAGGGTCACAAAGCTAATAAGTATCTGAGGGTAGATTTGAACTCAGGAACACAAGTCTTTCTAACTCCAGGCCCAGCACTCAATTCGCTGTACCAAAAATGTTAACTACCATGATTATTTAAGTTATTATCATAGCCTCTCCTAAGATGTTTTGATTGAAGGCAGTGATGAACTAAGAGACCAAGTGGTTATAAGGGAAATCAAGATGAATATTGAAGTCCCTAAGGATGACATGGGTTGGGGTGGTGAGGAACACTGTAGGTAAGGTGCTGAAATCATAGAAGGTAGGGGAGGGTGCTCAAGATCAATGGATGTGTCTAGTATCAGGTGATACCCGAAGGTGACAGAGCAAGCCTGGCAGCAGCGAGCAAGGGATATGCCCATCCATCACCCTGGCCCTATGAGTAAGGGAGCACGAGAAGAGGTATGTGGTGCCTTTGGAAGAAAGCCTGGCTCTTGTTACTTCCAGGAGATGGAAGGAGTGTCAGAAGAGAAGACCAAAGATGAAGGGGAGATTATTCTAGTAGAGCAGGGATTCCAGAGGGCACAGTGGAAGAGGCCGGTAAAACTCCCTTGGCCTCACTCTCAAGGTACTTTAGTCCTACCCCTGACTGTTACTATTCTCCTGCCTTCACCCACGCACATGCACGCAGTGCCCCGGACCTTTACTGATATCAAGCCTCCACCTTTTCATCCCAGCGCTGCAGAGGAAAATTAAAGTCTCCCTCCCCTTTGACTCTCCCCCCTCACCCTCACTTACCTTGAGTGCCCTTTGCCGCTCCCGAAGCTTCACCAACCACTCAGGCTCTTGCTCTTTCCCTCGATGACGTCTTTCCAAGAGCAGAGGGTCTGACAGCTTCAGCTGTTCCGATAACTACGTAAGATTGGAAGGGGGAATGGTGGGGAGCAAGAGAGAAATACAGGGGAAGTGGGGGAGGGGAAGCAAAAGAGACAAAGGGGAAAGAAACCCTTAACCTACTGGCAAATCAAAAATCACACTGAACAGCAATCTTTAAGGAAATAAACAGACCGCTTCAGCAGCTTTTGTCCCCATATCTATTAAGGAATAAGAAGCATAACAAGTTTCTTGTATATACTGTAGTGCTTTAATGTTTATAAGCAATTTACTTGCATTATCTCATTGGGCCAGCAATAAATAACACAGAAAAATGTCAGTCACAAATCACTCCTGGCCCTAAGAAGGTGGTTATCTCCAAAGCTATGTGAATTCCACCATTACTGAGAGCTAAGCCTTCTCTATCAGTATTGGCTTGGGCCCTGGCCACTGGATCCCATTAGCAGGTATTACAAGGTACATGGAGCTCCAACCCACAGTCTCATTGGTTATATGGAACCCAAGCATTCTAATACTTGGGCCTCCTCTAAAACACTAGTTTTAAGAAAGGATGACTTTTTACTCCACAACTAATAAAGCTGGTATTTAAAAAAAAAAAGTTTCAACTATTTTTCTGGTTCTCTATTTGTTGTTTTGTATGGGTTTTTTTTTCAAAGCTGTGGGTTGATTTGTTTGTATTTTCTTTTTAAATGTATCTTGTATGTGATAAAATATTCCATGCATTTAAAAGTATTTTAATAAGACTTGTTTCCTGTTTTAATCACTGAAGTATGTTTTCTAAATCCCAATGTTTATAATTAGGAGAGCACACTTCGAATTATGTGGTTCTACTGTATTTGGAAAACACATAGAGGGTGGATTTCTTAGATTTCACATGCCTACCCACAGGGGTGCATAGCAGCTTTTTTTGTGCACAGTTTCAGGCCTCTTTCTGCTTATCATATCTGGGCATGCATATGTGGTCAAAGGCTTTCATTGGTTCCACTTTTATAGCACCTTCAAAGGAGACGGAATGGGGGCTCCTAAGCTGCTTTATAATGCCTTTCATTAAGTGGCTCAGATAAAACGCATTCCCGGAAGCCTTGGAGAAGCTCACCTTGATGAGTTCTGCTAATAGCACAGGGTGGCTGCTCTCTGTCTGACTCAGGAGGATTGAGCTGATACCCTCACAGTAATGCAAGGCCTGAGATGTGAGACCATAATCTGCCAGACGGGAAGCATAAAGCAGTTTGTATACCTGGGAAGGAAAAAGAGGGCCAATGGTGGGTTAATCCAGGAGGGGAAAACAAGAGAAAGAACTGTGAAGAAGACTTCTTGACAGTCAGATGACTGACGCCCCAGCTCCAAATGGCTTTCCTACTTAAGGATGGAAAGCTATGTACTATTAACTCTGAAAAAGTCCAATTCCAAATCTAATGTGGAGTTACCAGGTCAATGGAGAAGGCCATGGAAATTAAATGAACTTAATTTTTCCATGGCTCTGGACCAGGAAAATGAACTGAGATATCATATGCTTGTCATTCAGGTAATACAACATGCATGTCTTGCTAGCAGAACCACTCCAGTCCAGTATCTTTGCCAAGAAAACCCCAAATGGGGTCACAAAGAGTCAGACACAACTAAATAGACACAAAAACAAAAATGAAGATGATTCTGAGATCATTAGATCCAGCCCTAATCCCTCTCTTGAGGACCACTCACCAGCTAACTATTGGATATTTCAAACAGGGTGTCTCATAAGCATATCAAACTCAACAAGTCCTGAATAGAATTCATCATCTTTCCCCCTAAAACCTATCCCTCTTCCAAACGTCCCTATTTCCTGTTGAGGATACCACCATCCTTCTGGTTCCCCGGGGTTTCCAATCTCAGTGTCATCCTCAATACCTCACTTTTCTTGCTCCCACATAGCCAATCAGTTTCCCAATCTTGTATTTTCTACTCCCTCAACATCTCTTGTATGTGTTCCCTTCTCTCTCCTCACACAGCTACCACCCCAATTCATCACCCCTTACCTGGACTATTGTAATAGCCTCCTCAATGGTCCCCCTGGCTCAGATCCTCTCAACCTCAATCCATCCTCCACACAGCTGCCAAAATGATTTTCCTAAAGCATAGGTCTAACTATGTCAGTCTCCTACTTACTAAACTCCAGTGGCTCCGTCTTATCTCCAGGATCAAATATAAATTCCTTTCTCAGTCATTTACAAATCTTCACAGCCTTGCCCCAGTGTGTCTTTCCAGCCTTGTTACACATTTCCCCCCCTCTCACACTCTATGGTCTAGCCAAACTGCCCTTCTTACTGTTCCTCATATGAGACACTCAATCTCTATGCCTTTGCACTGGCTGTCCCTCATGCCTGAGATGTCCTCCTTTCTCACCTCTACCTCTTGGAAATTCTAGTTTCCTTCGAGGTTCAACTCAAGTACCATCTTCTACATTGCTTCCTACCCCCAAAAAAACTTACTTTGCATTTATCATATATATATATATATATGTATATGTATACATATATACATAGAGAGAGAGAGAGAGAGAGAGAGCTAGATGGTGTAGTAGATAGAGTACTGAGGCCTGGAGTCAAGAAGACTCATCTCCCTAAGTTCAAATCTGGCCTCAGACACTTATTAGCTGTGACCCTGGGAAAATCACTTAAAACCCTGTTTGCCTCAGTTTCGTCATATGTAAAATGAGCTTGAGAAGGTAATGGCAAACCACTTTAATATCTTTACAAAAAAAATAGGGTCATAAAATGTCAGTGTGTATGTATGTATTCACATGCTGTATGTTCTGATAAATGTATACTCTTTGAGGGTGGGAAGTATTTCATTTTTGTCTTTGCAGCCCTAACACCTCACACAATGAGTGACACATAGTAGGTATTGATAAATGTGTAATCCAGGACTAGCCAATAAGCCTAAATCGTATGTGAATGCCAGCACCTGCTCCAAAGTCTACATAAGAATTGCATCCACCAAACATTCTTTGCATGCTCATGAGGACTAGGGTCAACTCATGCAATCTCTCCATGAACATTGGAGCCATCCCACACATTCCATGGATGCTCATAAGGACTAAACTCACTGGCCAGTCTATTAAAAATGTTTGTGGATTGATTAATGAATTGATTATCCTAACAAACGGGTTTGCAAAAGTCTTTGCAACCAGTGACCTTGTCAGTGCTACAAATCCTTTACTCTAAAGACCATTGTTTGGGAGGGAAGGGGATTGAACAGAACACCAAGCTTTTTGAGAAAAAATGATCAATTTTCCCAGGACTCAAAGCTGACTGGGAACTTGGAATAAGTAATTTATCATATGTACCTGATAGCCAGGGTCACCAAAGGTGAGGACATCAGTGGTATCAGTTGATCATGGGTATGCTGCAGCTGATATGTGGTAATGCCAAGGAATGTAGTTACCTGGAAAGAAGGGATGAAGGACTTGGGGCGTCCCAACATCTGACAGTATTCGAAGATTTCCGTCCTTTGGATGGCCTCAGTGGTTGCAAATTTCAAAAACTCCTGACTAAAACCAGGGAATAATGGTAAATAAAAGAATGTGAGATATAGGAAAGAAATGGGAATTATTTGCAGGCACACAAACACACCACCACCTACCTCTGGTGGGGTTTTGATCTCTGGGTAAATTACTTTATTATGAAAATTATTCATTAGAGGTTGGGGACCCAGCATAAATGCTCTGATCTCTCCCATCACCACCACCCTCTAGAACTGGGAGAAAAATGCATGAAAATGCTGCCACTGAGTAGCTGTGAAATATAACCATAGAATTTCTTACTAGAGAGTCAAGCAAAGCAAGCTGAATCCAGAATACAGACATCCCTGTATCCTTCTCTTTGCGATATAGGGGCACATCTCATCAGGACTATTTCACTTACATTGTGAACGACCTGTAAATTCTCTCTACTGGGAACATGGGTAGGTGTGCTTTCCAGGGTGTCCCCAAAGATAAACCTTGAAGCCCCAGAAAAACCATCCTTAGTCCTGGGGACAGACTTGCCCTTCTGTTCTGAGACCTGCCTAGCTAAATCCAGAGAAGCCCAACACCAGTGCAAGATGGCTACTAAGGGGTGAGTCCCTTCAATGAAATAATATTCTGAAAAGAATGACATTAAGGAATCAACTATCAGAGGTTCACAGAAAGCACAGTGAGAGGGGATGGCACAAAAGAAAATAGCAGAAATGCTGCTAAGGCAGAAATCAAAGGGTTACCCATGTATCGAATATATGAAAAGGCAGAATAAGCTGCCGCTATATTTGGTGATCAGAAGAAAAACCAGAAGATTCATCTGCTCAAAGTATCTCCCCCACCAGCTTGCCTTGGTGCCTAAAACTGAGCAGAGAATGATCATAGATTTAAAGCTGGAAGGGACCTCAGAATCCACATAGTCCAAAACGCAAATTTTACAAATGGGGAAACTGAGGTCCAGAGAAGTAAATTAGACTTACCCAAAGTCACATGAATCAGAGATGAGATTTGAACACAGGTCCTCTGACTCGAGATCTCTCTCTCTTTTTACTGTATCATATGGCCTCCCCAGCTTCTGAGTCACTCTCTACCTGGCTCCTTCCTACCTTTCCAGTCTTCTTATACCTTACTCTCCTTCAGATACTCTAAGATCCAGCAACACTGGCCTCCTTGCTATTCCTCTCGTGTGAGACTCCATTTCCTGAGTCTGCGCATTTTCACTAGTTGCTCACCATATATATATACACATATGAAAACACACACACAAACAGAGAGACAGAGAGAGATCTTGTTTGTATACACTTGTTTGAATGTAGCCTCCCTCATTAGATTGTAAGCTCCTTGAGGGCAGGGACTGTTGCCTTCTCTTTGACATTGTCTTCGATTTACCCTGTGTACATCTTGCTTGTTTACTCTGTATACATCTCCATTAGCCTGTGAGCTCTTTGAGAATAGGGACTGTTTTTGCCTTTATTTGAATCCCTAGTGCTTAGCACTGCACCTGGCACACTTAATAAATGCTTGTTGACTTAACCCTAGGTGAAGACCCTATCTCCAGAAACTCCCTCTTAAAATGAAAATATGGCACCCAAGAAGGGTAAGGTGTTAATGAAGACACACATTCATTATGGGTTTAACACGGAAGAAGTTCTATGGTGAGCGAGCAACCCCTTGGTCAGGAAGGAACAAGGGCTTGGCAGAGCCAGACTAGTAAACTTTGATAAGGGGGCTGGGGGGTCCAGAACATAGAGTATTCCTAGGGAGAGCTAGTTGGAACAGGCTGAGGATACTGAGCATCAGGAGGATGGAGAGAAGATGAGAAGATGACAAGGAAAGAAAGAAACCCAATCTCGGAAAAGGAGGTTCAGGGCCAGCCCTGGCTGTCACAGGCACCCAAAAATTCCCAGAGAGAGCTCCAAAATGTTATATGATTTTGTAGCTTTTAGTCTATGGGACCAGAGCACCACCTGGTGGCCAAAAACATTTAATGCAAACACTACAGTATTTCTCAATTCTAGCAGCGTCTGCAGACCCTTGGTGGTCGCATTATGGCTCGTGTGCCATTTCTCTGCATCCAAAGATACTGCCCAGACATATTGCCCATGGAAGCAATACTGGCCTAAAGGTCTCATGAAAAGGAGGTGAAATCGAATGTAAAAGAGGAAATTATAAAATTCAAAATGTGCTTTAAAAAAATAAAAAGGCCCTCCCTTCACACATGTTCTATCTACTCCCCCTCTGCTAACATATCCATGTACCTGTGGCTACTGCCCAGCAAAACCAGGTGGTCTGTCTTCACAGTGTAGTGACCAAAAGGCACATGGGCCATCAGGTAGCAGAAGTGAGCTGCCTCCAATAGCCCTTTCCCGGCTGGATGAGAAAAGCAAAATCTAGTAAGGGTAGAGCCAGCCACCAGAGGAAGCGCCCATGCAGAGATCAATGAATCTGATGGTATCTGAGGGCCCACGCATGGATACCCTCTAGTGGGAAAATCGAGAAATTTATGCCCCCATCCCACAGACTCAGTCTAGGAATTAGGGGCCTTGATAATTAGAAAAAAAAAATAAGGAGCAGGTGTGCTGTGAGGGAGGCATGATGGAAGGGTATTTAGTCAGGGTAAAGTGACTTCTAGTTAAAATTCATTGATGTTTCTAATTACCGCTGTCATTCCTAAGGGTGGGAAGTGAGACTGTGCTGTCTGTGCCTCTGTCGAACTGAGACCTGTATCTAAAACTTTTCTCAGAGTTCAGAGGAGACTCACAGAATCAAGGGCAGATCCTTGCTCCTTTCCCCAGGGCTTCTCTCGGAGAACTTCTCTCTCTCCCCAGTAGAATGTAAGTTCCTCAAGGGCATGAACTGATTTATTTTTGTCTTTGTATCTCCCACACTTAGCACAGTGCCGAGCACTTAATAAAACTGTGTTGATTCATTCATTGACCTTCCTTCCAAAGAGGCAGGGATACTTGGTGAATAGACCTCCCAGCTCAGGCTTTAGGTGGGCATAGTCTATGCTGAGGCTTCTCTGAGTGGGTTTGAGAAAAAAAAAATCTCTACTTCCTTCGCCTTACCCAGGGTGTCACCCATGGTAATGATGGCTTGCTGATGCAATTCAGGGTCTCCCACCTGATTGGACAGCATTACCGCCAGATGTGGCCTCCAGTCTCCCCAGTGCTTGTCCCCACAGCACTGAAAAACAGACGGGGAAAGAGGGCAGGTTAGTGGAATTTCCCAGAGTTGGCCTTACAAGCAAATAGAGAATGGGGATCCCTACTGAGAATCATGGGATTATAGAATCTCAGAAGTGGAAAGGTGATTCATTCGTTACAACTTCCCAGACACTGCAGAAGACACTCTCTAACATACCTGATGGCTTCTTCTATCTAGCCTTTGAAGATTAGCCAACATGTCCTCAGATCAGAGACTCAGTATCTCTGCTGCCTCAGCACTTTCCTTCAGGTTGTCTGTATTCCAGCAGCCTCTCCTGACCGCCTATCTTTTCTCAATAGCACTGCTGTCACCCAATGACCCAAGGAAGTTTGGGAAAGTAAACAAGTAGAGAAATTCAGTATACTGAGAAAATCAGTTATGAGGTGACTGGGAGCTGGGTGTTAGATTCCAGAGACATTGCTCAGAGGAAAAAAAAAAGCATCTAGCCCAACCCCTATCCAATCTACTAATCCCTCTAGATCTGGGGTTCTTTAACCATTTTTGTGTCTTGGACCCCTCTGGCAGACTGGTGAAGCCTAAGGACCCCTTCTCAAAATAAGGTTTTTAAATGCATAAAATAAAATACACAGGATTAAAAAGGAAACCAATTATATAAGGATGTCATTAAATACATAAGGATGTGATTTATTCACATCAAATTTCATAAACCCCTTGAAATGTATCCATAGACCCCAGGTTAAGAACCCCTATTCTACAATATCTGGACCAAGGGCCCTTTTTGTGTTGTTGTTCAGTCATGTCTGACTCTTCATGACCCCATTTGGGGTTTTCTTGGCAAAGATACTGCAATAGTTTGTCGTTTCCTTCTCCAGTTTATTTTACAAATGAGGAAACTGACACAAACAAGGTTAAGTGACTTGCCCAGGGTCACACAGTTAGTAAATGTCTGAGGCCAGATTTGAACTCAGAAAGACTGAAAATTACTCTTCTTGACTCCAGGCCCAGCACTCTATCCACTGTACCACCTAGCTGCCTGGGGCTCCTTTAAATTAAAAGGTTCCTTTTGTTTCTATTTAAACATCTCCAGTGAGAGAAAACTCACTACCTCAAGAAGTAGTCAAGCTCCATTTTGGACAGTTTTGTTAGGCGGTTCTTGATCTCATGTTGCAACAGTCTGCCTCCTTGTCACCCTGATCCACTTGCCATCCCTATTTCTGCCCTTAGTAGCTACAAAGAACACATTCAATCCCCCTTTTACATGACAGCCTTTCCAATATCTCAACACAGCCACCATGTTCTTCTAAGTCTTCTCTTCACACAGTATGACTGAAAGGGCTCTAGAATAAAACAATGTATTTAAAGTGCTCCATAAACCTTAAGAGCACTATATAAATGTCAGCCATTATTATCATCATTATTGATAAGTTGATGAGAAGGAGAGGAGGAGGAGGAAAATGCCTATCATGGAAGATCAACTCCTCCCAAAACAGTTCAAATTCAACTATGAGAAATTCATCTTGGGGAGGTTAATAAAAGTGCACTTTAAAAATGCAAATACCTCTTGGGAAGTCTGACTCCTGTAGCCAGCTCTCTGACTCTGACCCAGGTCAGAGGACCTGAGTTCAAACCCCACCCTGACTATTGAAGTACTTCTGAGAGGCAATGTGGTTTCAATAGAATTTTGATGGAATGTAAGTTCTCTGAGGGCAAGGCTTGTTTTTCTGTTTTGTTTTGTTTTATTTTGTATCCTCAGCACCTACCATAGTGCCTGACACATAGCAAATACATACACTAATGGCCTTATCAGTCATACTCCTTTCCTCCCCAAATGCCCTGTCCAGTGTGCTACTTGAAAACCTCCTTTGGGAAGGGGAAGCACCCTCCCAATAAATGCCAACAGTGAAAAGAGAAGTAGGGAGAGAGTCAGCTGATTCATCCTTAATGAATGAGCTCAAGCCACCAGGCCTAGATGAACCACAGTTAACAACCCAAGGAACTGAAAGAATAGCAGATATGAGTGTGAAACCCCTGCTAGCAATCTTCAAAAGACCATGAAGAATGTGAGATGGGCCACAGGGCTCAAGAAGGGTAGAGGTTATTCTAATTTTTGAAAAGGAAAGACAATGAAGGCTGTAAACTAAGGCCAGTGAGTTAGACTTTTGATTCCTGGGGGGAAATGATTGCAAGTATTATCAAAGTGATGGTTGGTAAACATCTAGAAAAGTAAGCAGTGATCCCAAAGCACTAGCATAGCTACATCAAGAATAGGCCCTGCCAACTGGTCCTCATTTCCTTGAATATTTAGAGGGAATAGCAAGTTGTACATGGTAGACTTGCAGTTTCATGTGCAATCATCTTTTTTATTGTACTGTGTTATGGAAATGCTTGTTTTATTCCATGAATAGAAAATAAAATAATTTTTTAAAAAAGACATAGTTAGGCCAAGCTCATCTACTACACCCCAGGCCATTGCCAACTGTCCTGACTTTTGCCTTGCCACCGGACTTCAATGATTCTGCAGGAAAAAGTACTTTGTGCAATTCTGCCTCACTGAAATCCAATTCAAGTCGAGTCATCACTTTCATGATGTCATTGTGAGAACAGAGGATGAAAAACAACAAATTGGTGGCATCAAGCACAGACCTTGGGAAGTCAGGAAGGCCTGGGTTCAGGTCCTCCCTCTGACCTATGCTACATGACAATGGATAAGTCTCTTCTCTTTTCAGCGCCAGGAAAATCTCAAAGACTATAAATTGCAGAGTGGCTAATCTGCAAAGTGGATGAATTCCCCTCACAATGAAGTTAAAGGTCCAAAACAAAACACAACCCAAAAACTCTAACCTGGCAGTTCAGGGGAATGCTATAGATGGAGTTGACCTAGACTTCAAGTAAGCATTCAACAGAGTCTCTCTCCTGCTAATCTTACGGACAAAATGGAGAGATGTGACCAGTAGGACAGGAGAATTGATTGGTGACTTGGGGAAGAAGGGAAGCCAAAGAGTACTCATTAGTCTTTCAATGCCAGCTTAAAAGGAAGTTGCTAGTAGAATGCCTTGAGAAATCTGTGTTTAGACCTGTGCTAACAGATATTTTTATTAACAAATTTGATAAAGCCAAAGAAGGCATTCTAATCAGATTTGAAAATGGCATCAAGAAAGTAACAATAGCTCCTGTGTAGACTTTGATTGACTGGGTTTAATCTAGTAAGACAAAGTTTAACAGGGAAAAACAGTAAAGGCTTACTCCTGGGTTTAAAGAAATAAACTTCACAAGAACAAGACAGGAAAGGGATAGCTAGACATCAGCTCTTATGAAATGAATCCAGGAATTTTAGTGGACTCCAGGATTAATGTGAGTCAGCACTGCTATATAGCAGCCAAAAAATGATAATGCTATCTTGGGCCACATTAAGAAATGAATTCTTTTAACAAATAAGTTATTTTGACTATTATAAATACCCAAATTAATTATAAAGGACATATGAAGAAAGATGCTATCTGTATCCAGAGAAAGAACTGATAAATAGAAGTATGTATAGAATAATTTTACATATATATACTTATTTATGTCTAATGGTAGCCATCTCTAGGGTGGAGGTTGGGGGGAGGGAAGATAAAAAAGGAAATTTATATGACAATTTTGTTGTTTATTTGAAAGGAATAGCAAGTAGATTTGCAGTTTCATGTGCAATCATCTTTTTTATTATACTATTATGGAAATGCTTATTTTATTCCATAAATTAAAAATAAAACTTGAAAAATGAATGGTATCAATAAATGAGCCAAAAACATAAGAAATGAATGGCATCTTTTTTAAAAAGTCAAAAAAACATGAGCTAGAAGGGACGTTAATGACCATCTGGTCCAATGCTATCATTTAATAGATGAGGAAGCAGAGGCCCAATGAGCTTATGTGACTTACTAAAAGTAACACAAGTATTATTATAGTCTCGTTGTCCTCTGACCAAGTCAGAACACAAGTGCTATATTGAATTTGGTTCTAAGCACTACATTTTAGGAATATCATCAGTAAGAAAGTACACTAAAAAGTGAGAGATTGTCCCAAGGAGGGTGACCAGAATAGTGAAGGGCCTTGAAATAATTGGAAATATTTAGCCTAGGGAACTTAAGGCCATGATAACTATAACCCATTTAAAGGGATAACACATAGAAGAACCATACATACTATGTTGACTCACAGTGTACCCTCAAATGCAGATGTCCCAAGCATATTGCTAAGAACCTATAGGCTGAGACAGTGAAGAAGGATCATCTAGATTTCCACTAGGGATGGAAGGGTTACTTCAGGATGAATGTGGCCAGACAAAATAATGACAGTGACTGTGGTGCCTTCATAATGCTGCATTACAAGTACCTGGCCCTGTCTCAGACCTTCCGCTTCATGCAATAGAGCATACCCAAACTTCATCAGCAAATCTACGAGGAGCTGTGTCACAGCAAACTCATTGGGCTAGCCTCGGACCCTAGGTCCTCCAATGTGAAGGCTGGAGAACATCTGTCCCTCCTCTGACCTGCAAAAACCTATTGCTTTTACTCCCTGGACTCCACGTCTCCCTCATGTACCTGTTTGTTTTTCATATTTCAATCTTTCCCTTGGTTTGTTTAAGCCATCATTTTCATCAAGCAAATTCATGAAGTTGGGTGTGATGAGGAAAAACTTCTCTTGTGCTATCATGTCACTTAGGGTTCTCATCTTTTTTTTTATTTCAAGTATTTGATTGTTTCCACAAATTTTAGAAGTTACATTGATGAACTGTGGAAAAATATGACTTTTAAATAGCTTCCTTCATAATCCTGCTCAGCTTCTAGATCTTGGGATTTTTTCCTCAAGTACTTTACTGTTTCCACAAATTTTAGAAATTTCACCGATGAACTATAGGAAAATATGACTTTCAAACAGCTTCCTTCATAATCCTACTTAGCTGCTGGATCTTGGGATTTTTTGTTTTGTAAAGACTTTATTATTTCCACAAATTTTAGATGTTTCATTGATGAACTGCGGGGAAAAATATGACTTTCAACCAGCTTCTTTCATAATCCTACTTAGCTTCTAAATTTTGGTTCTTAAAACAAAAACACATTTTGGTTCTTGCAGACATATCAACCTATTGCCCTGCTATATGAATAATCACTCCTCCCGTGACTGAAGGATCAGTCTTAACCTCTGTTTTCAGGATGTGAACTTTACTTAGGAAGCAGTTCAGGACTGTTTTTAATTCTGAAAGAGTTATCTCTTCTAAGGTAGATGCAGTAATAATTGAACATTATACTTCTCTCTACAATGCACATTCACTATGGTTGAAAATGCTGAAATGATTCCTGGGGTATTATTTAAATGACCGCTTTTATCAAGCAAATTCATGAAGTTGGTTATGATGGAGGAAAATCTCTCTTTGACTATCATGTTACTTAGGGTTTTTGTTTTGACGATTTGCTTTATATAGGGATTCATAATAGAGTTGATCATTTTGGGTTCCCTCAAAGATTTTGTTACCAGGTCCAGACATACCAGCTTAGATGCAGCAGAATATCAGTTTTGAAGATCCTGGACTTGAATTAGAGACTTGTCCTGTTGGTCCCAGAAAACAGAAATTGGACCAGTGGATAGGATTTGCAAAGAGAGATGTAAGGAAATACAGTACATCCTAACAATTAGAGCAGTCCAAAAAGAGAATAGCCTGCCTCAAGATACGGCAATTTGTCCCTCACTAAATGTCATTTGCCTCAAACAAAATGAGGCCTGGGAAAGATCTTAATTTAGAAAGGCCAAGGTCATCCATTACATCCTGGGCAATAGCCAGTGGTCTCGGCTTTTGTTTTGCCACCAGAGTTTGATGACTCTGGAAGAGAGAGTGAGGTTGACAACTTTGCATAGCTCTGCCTCACTTAAATCTAATTCATATACAAGTCAAGACATCACCCTCATGATGTCATTGGTCTTCTTCAAGAATTAAGGATGAACAATAACTACTACAACAAATGTCATTTGGGCAGTTGGGTGGTGCCATAGTGCATAGAGTGTCAGGCCTGAAGTCAGGAAGATTTATCTTCCTGAGTTCAAATCTGGTCTCAGACACTTACTAGCTGTGTGACCCTGGGCAACCCCATCTGCTTCAGTTTCTTTATCTATAAAGTGAACTAGACAAGAAAATGACAAACCATTCCAGTATTTTTCCCAAGAAATCCCCAAATAAGGTCACAAAGAGTTGGATACCACTGAAGCAATTGAATAATAACAACAACAACAAAATATCATTTGGCCTTCTTTTGAAGGTACTTAGTGAGGGGCAAACTACCATATCCTAGGGATAGTTTAAGGGGATTTTCTGCTGTATAGAGGGATCTTTAGAAGGCATTGGACTCGAGGTTCTCTGAATCTCTCTACCTCTATCTCTGAGACTCCATGACTTTGAAAAGCAAGTCCAGACTGTGGTTTCCTTGTGATGATCACCATACCCCAGAGAATAACACGGTACCTCAAGACTAAATGATTATCGGAAAACTCCCAGACTGTGAATTCTAATATCATATCTACCGTATCTTAGCTCAAACATCAGCTTTTAGTGTCTCAGTCTTCTCATCTGTAAAACAGGGGTGATAATATTAATTCTCCCGCATAGGGCCACTGGGAAGTACAACCAATCACAATGATGACGAATCACCTGGCATGATCAAGATCTTCTTATCAGTTTCAGCAGCAGCCAACCTGGGGTATCATGAGAATCACTCCCCAGGGGCCAATGTGACAGACTTTGCAGGACCAACTCTTGTTGGCAAATAGCTACACAGTAATGGATTATTCTGCCCCTCACTGTAAAATAGGCCAATATTGCATTTCCTCATACTACCTATCCCACAATACAAAAGTCACCAAGGGTGACCTTTTCCCCATTTATACAGTACCGTGGCTGCCTGGGGGATCCTCCCGGACATGAGCTGGAAGAGGGTCTGCAGAGGATCATTGAAAGCCAGAGAGCTAATGAAGCTGAAAACAAATAAAAGGATTATAATCAATTCATTGTTTGGGATCATGGACCAAGCTGAGAAGACAATGGCCTCTGTTCACCTCAGACATGGAAAAAGGTTTTTTCAGCTTTTTTGAGGTGCTACATTTGTGAAAACATGAGCTTCTCTCTGCAGCAAATCACGGGTCACAACAACAACAATAATAACATTAATAAGGACAATAACAATAATACTAACAATGATAATAACAATAACAATAGATAGCATTTGCATAGCACTTTAAGGTTAACAATGTACTTTACATAGGTTATTTCATATGATTCTCACAATAGCCCCATGAAGTATGTGCTATAATTATCCTCTTTTTATAGATGAGGAAACTGATCCCAGTTACTCATTGTACCATACACTCTTATAAGAGAATTATCGGCCTGGGGTTCAAGCCTGAGGGGAATTACTCCTCTTTGGCATTGAGACCTGAACCCTTACAATTCTTGAATCATAGTATTTCATGCAAAGAAGAAGCCATCATCCTCTGAGTAGCAGGTTTTATAACACACAGATCTTTTAGGTCATCAGCCCCCCACTTTGGGGCTCTTCTGCAAAGCAACCATCCTCCTCATCCTCAACCTCATTCTCATCCTCTTCAGCCACCCATCAGCCACTAACTGCACATCAGCTTTCTGGGCCAAATTCATAGGCGTGGATATAGGTGGGTTTTTTCCCCTATCTCATCACAAGCATAAAGCTGTCCAGGCTTATAATTCTGTGCTCACAAGCACTTAATGACCATTATCAGTAACCAAAGAGGCGTGGAACAGGGACCAGAAATTATCCTACTGATGACAAACTGCAGAATATGCTTAACAAGGATATAATAAGGTCTATAGCTGATTTGAGATTTAAGGATATTCTGTGGGAGATATTTTTCACAACTCACTGGGTCCCATCAAAGAGCAATGGTCCACAACAAAGAACTGAACCAGTGACGAGTCCTGCAGATGTGGGAGTGGTGGGATGCTCATTGCTATTAGCCCAAAAGGGATTATTTCCCAGAACATCATCTCTTTTTTAATATCACCCTGATCTAGGGAGTTTGAAATGCTTTTAGTGATGTCATTTTGGAACTCTTCCCTCTTTAAATTTTCTTGACATTTTTGTTGTTCGGTCATTTTCAGTCCTATTTGACTCTTCATGACCCCATTTAGGGTTTTCTTAGCAAAGATACTGGAGTGGTTTGCCATTTCCTTCTCTAGCTCATTTTACAGGGGAAGGAACTGGGGCAAACAGGGTTAAGTGACTTGCCCAGAGTCACACAGCTAGTAAATGTCTGAGGCCAGATTTGAACTTAGAAAGATGACTCTTCTTGACTTCAGACCCAGTACTGTATCCACTCTGTCCTTGACATGAGGCAAAGCTATGCCTGGTCCCATATGGCAGGTGGGGAAACTGAGGTCTGGAGTAATAAAATTATTTGACTAATCACTATGTAGAATACCCTCCCCTGCCAGCATGACAATCACTAGATCTTAGAGAAATATTACAAATAATCCCTTTCTATTCAACCTTCCTCTACTCAAGAGACAGGACCAATTCAAATAAATGCTGAATTGGCTTCATAGATATAACCAAGGAAAGATAAATACTAAAGCATAATCTTCCTTCCCACTTAGTTTTTTGTAGACCATATCCCCTATAAAAATATTACTAAGCCTCTTTACTCTTTTGTGGCAGGAAGATAGGGTCAGACTATCTAATCAGGGTTCTCTGTAAATGGGCTTATTGTGTCTGCATTTGAGAAATCTACAAAAGGTGATTCTGTGTCTGGTTCACAGTAAAAAAGGATAATATGAAATATTGTGCACATCATTATTTCTTGGAATCCTGTATTTTCCACACCACCCCCCAAATACACTAATAGAAGTAAGGAAAGTACCATGACTTCTGAGCAAACACAGGTTCCTACCTACCCACTCATGACCCAGCTGTAAGTCCTCAGGTCCATCTTGCTGGACAAGAAGAGTGCGTGGCCCCACAAATGGTTCCTCATGGCCCATTCCAGGGCTTCCTAAAATCAAGAATATTTTTAGGTCAGTATTAGTTTTCTTGATGCACCCCTACTGAGAAATGACATTTCTTTGCTTGGGATTTATTCACCAGACTCAGGTTGAGGCAATTATATGGTACAGTGGCTAGTGCATAGGCAGTTCACTCATTCATTGTTCATACTTCATTTTTGAAGAGGATCAATGACACCACAAGGTGATGTCCTGACTTGTGTGTGATTTGGATTTAAGTGAGGCAGACTTATAGAACTTGGAATCCAGAAGACCTGAATTTGAAACCAGCTTCAGATATTTCCTTGCTGAATGAGCCTTAGCAAGTCATTTAACTTCTGTATGCCTTAGCTTACTCATCTGTAAAACGGGAATAATAATAGTATTTATCTTACAAGATTGGAGGGAGGATCAAATGAGTTAATATATGTAAAGAGCTTTGTAAAGCTTAAAGCACTATGTAAATGCTAGCTACTAGTAGTACTAGAGTAAGTTAGAAGGTCTTTTAGAAGCTCACATATTGAAACTTCCAGTGCCAAGATGGTGGAATAAGGAAGGAACCCTCTGAAGCCCTCCCAAATTCCCCTCCAAATAACTAGAAAACTACCTCAGAATGGATCTAGGAGCAGGGAAGCAGTTCACCAGCTTGGCAGGAAAGGTCTGTCTCTCTGTCTCACTGGGATGGGAGGGGGGTAACCCAGCAGCATGGCCCCACCCCTGGGGCAGGCCAGCAGTTAAACCCCACAACCTAGGGAGGCCCCAACACCCAGCACAAGCCAGAAGGAAAGCCTATCTCCAGAAAAATCAAATAGCTAAGGCTTGAAGCCCAGTGAAAGCCAGCAGTAAGACCCAGAGCCCCAGCACAAAAAGCTTGAGACTGTGCAGGACAAGAGTCCAACTCTCACATAAAAACACCAAATCACAAAAAAAAAAAAAAAGGCAGAAAAAAAAGCAAAAAACAAACCAAAAAAAAGAGCTAGACTATAGAAAGTTACTATGGTGATAGGGAGGATCAAGGCATAAACTTACAAGAGGACAATAGTGTCAAAATGGCTCCATATGAGTCCTCAAAGGAAAATGTAATTTGGTCTCAGGCCCAAAAAGAATTCCTGGAAGAGCTTTAAAAAGATTTTTAAAAGCAAATTAGAAGAGTAGAAGAAAAATTGGTAAAAGGAATTAGAATAATGCAAGAGAATCACTTTAAAAAAAAGAGTATGGGAAAAGATATACAAAAATTTACAGAGGAAAATAACTCTCTAAAAAAAATAGAATTGACCAAATGGGAAAGGAAGTACAAAAGCTCATTGAAGAAAATAATTCCTTAAAAATTAGAATTGGACAAATGGAAACTAATGACTCATCATTCATTTCATGAGACATCAAGATACGATAAAAACAGAATCAAAAAAGTTTTTTAAAATGAAGAAAACACTTACTAGCTATGTGTGACCCTGGGCAAGTCACTTAACCCCATTGCCTAGGCAAAACAAAAAATGAAGAAAATGTGAGATTTCACATTGGAAAAACAACTGACCTGGAATATAGATCCAGGAGAGATAATATAAGAATTATTGGACTACCTGAAAGCCATGATTTGAAAAAAAAAAGCCTGGACAACATCTTTCAAGAAATTATCAAAGAAAATTGCCCTGATATAGTAGAACCAGAGGGCAAAATAGAAATTGAAAGAATCCACCAATCACTGCCTGAAAGAGAGCCCAAAATGGAAACTCAAAGGAACATCATAGCCAAATTCCAGAGCTCACAGATCAAGGATAAAGTATTGCAAGCAGCCAAAAAGAAACAAGTCAAATATTGTGGAGCTACAGTCAGGATTACACAAGATTTGACAGCTTCCACATTAAAGAACCAGAGGGCTCAGAATATGATATACCAGAAGGCAAAGGAGTTAAGATTAGAACCAAGAATCACCTACCCAACAAAACTGAATATAACTTTTCGGGGGGGGGGGGGGATGGACACTTAATTAAATAGAGGACTTGCAAGCATTTGAAATTAAAAGACCAGAGCTGAATAAAAAATTTGACCTCCAAATACAAGACTCGAGGGAAACACAAAAAAGTAAATGAAAAAAAAGAAACAAGGAAGAGAAAATGTAATAAATTCAATAAGGTTAAACTGTTCATATTTCTATGTGGAAAGATAATATTTGTAACTCTTAACAACTTTATTACTATAAGAGCAATTAGGAAGAGTATATGTAGATAGAGGGTATGGATATAAGATGACTTTGATGGGATGACGTTGAAAAAAAAATAAAGGGTTGAGAAAGAAAATTGCACTGGAAGAGGAAGGAGGGGAGAGATTGAATGGAGTAAATTATCCCACATAAAAGAGGCATGAAAAAACCATTGTAATGGAAGAGAAGATGGGGGTTTAGGGTGGGGGACAAAGCTTAAACCTTACTCTCATCAAAATTGGTTCAAAGAGGGAATAACACACACTCAGTTGGATAAAGAAATCTATCTTATCCTATAAGGAAGTAAAAAGGGACAAGGATAATAGAAGGGACTAATAAAGGGAGGGTTTATTGAGGAAGGTGATCAGGAGTAAAACACTTATAAGGAGGGAAAGGCTGGGGGGTAAAAGAGAGGGGTGGAGATAAACAAGCAAAAAAAATAGCATGGACAGAAATACAGTTAGTTATGATAACTAAATGTGAATGGGATGAACTCACCCATAAAACAGAAGCGGATAGCAGAATGAATTAAAAACCAGAAGCCTGCAATATGTTGTTTAAAACAAACACATTTGAAGAAGAGAGATATACACAGGGTAAAGGTAAGGGGCTGGAGCAAAATCTATTATGCTTCAGCTGAAGCAAAGAAAGCAGGGGTAAGCAATCATGATCTCAGACAAAACACAAGCAGGGGCAGCTAGATGATACAGTGGATAGAGCACTAGCCCTGGATTCAGGAAGACCTGAGTTCAAATCTGGCCTCAGACACTTGACACTTACTAGCTATGTGACCCTGGGCAAGTCACTTAACCTCCATTGCCTCACCAAAAAGCACAATAAAAAAAAAGAAAAGAAAAGAATTAAAAACAGATCTAATTAAAAGAGATAAACAAGGAAACTATATCTTGCTGAAAGGTACCATAGACAGTGAAGTCAATCAATATTAAACAAATATGCAAAAAATGGTATAACATCTAAATTTTTTGAAGGAAAAGTTGAATCAGTTACAGGAGGAAATAGATAATAAAACTATTCTAGTGGAGAACCTCAACTTTCCCCTTTCAGAACTAGATAAATCTAACTAAAAAATAAACAAGAAAGAAGTTAAAGAGGTGAATAAAATTCTGGAAAAGTTAGATATGATAGATCTCTGGAGAAAAATTGAATAGAAATAGAAAGGAATATACCTTTTTCTCAGCAGTACATGGAACATACACAAAAACTGACCATGTATTAGGATATAAAAACCTCACAACCAAATGCAGAAAAGCAGAAATAGTAAACACATTCTTTTCAGATCATAATGCAATAAAAATTACATTCAATAATGGACAATGGAAAGAGACTTTAAAAATTAATTGAAAATTAAATAATCTAATCCTAAAAAACATGTAGTTCAAAGAACAAATCATAGAAACAATGGGTCAGAGAAATGCAAATTAAAACAGCTCTGAGGTACCACCTCAAACCTATCTGATTTGCTAATATGACAACAAAAGAAAATGTTAGATGTTGGAGGGAATATGGGAAAACTGGGACACTAATGCACTGTTGGTGGAGTTGTGAAGTGATCCAACCATTCTGGAGAGCAATTTAGAACTACACCCAAAGCGCTATAAAACCATGCATACCTTTTGATCAAGCAATACCACCACTAGGTCTGCTTCCCAAAAAGATTAAAAAAAGTATGTGGGAGGGAGAGAACCTATTTGTATAAACATATTTATAGAAGCTTTTTTTGTGGTGACAAAGATTTGGAAAGTGAGTGGATGCCCATCAATTGGGGAATGGTTAAACAAGTTGTGGTAGATGATGTAATGGAATATTATTGTGTTATAAGAAATGACAAGCAAGATGATTTCAGAAAAACCTAGAAAGATTTACATGAACTGATACAGAGTGAAGTGAACAGAAGCAGGAGACCATCATACACAGTAACAGCAAAATTGTACAATGACCAAATGGGAATGACTTAGCTATTCCCAGTAATACGATGACCCAAGACAATCCCAAAGGACTTATGATGAAGCATACTATCTGCCTCTAGAGAAAGAAGTGATATTCATTGAATATAGACTGAAGCATGCTTTTTTTTCACTTTCTTTCTTTATTTTCTTTTATTCAAGTTTTCTTGTACAAAATGACAAATATGGAAATGTTTTACATATTTGCACATGTATAACCTATATCTTAATGCCTACCATTTCAGTTAGGGGAGAAGGGTGGAAGGGAGGGAGGGATAGAATTTGGAACTCAAAACTTTGAATAAAAATGTTTTTAAAAATTGGAAAAAAATTAAAGTCATTTAATTCAGTAGAGTGTAAGCTCCTTGAGAGCAGGGATCATTAATTTTATATCGTATGTTCAGTACCTAGCAAATAGTAGGCATTTAATAAATGCTTTGTGATTAAATGAAAAAAAAAGCTCACATATTAACATCAAAGAGAAACTGCCTGATGCATAGTAGATACTTAATAATATTTGTTCTTATTCCTCCCTCTGCCCCACTTCCCACATAAGCAAAAGCATTTATACATATAGCACTCATAAATATTATCACATTTGTTCCTCACAACAACCTTGGGAGGTAGGTGCTTTTAGTATCACTGTTTTTTCATTGTTTATTTTATTTTTTAAAAAATTATTTACTTTTAACATTCTTTTCTTTTTAAATTTTGAGTTTCAAATTCTCTCCCTCCCTCCCACTTCCTCTCACACCCACTGAGAAGGCAAACAATATGTATCATCTCATTTTTACAGATGAGGAAACTGAGGTTCAGAGACTCGCTCAGGGTCACACAGCTAGTAAGTGTCTGAGGCTGGATTCGAAATTAGGTCTTCCTGTCTCCAAGCCCAGTGCTCTATCCACTGTACCACCTAATTGATTATTTCTTCTACCAGTTTCCTTCTCCTCTTCCTCCACTACCCAAGAATCAATCATCCATAAGGCTATCACTTTTAAACTCTGGCTAGCAGCTGGTGACCATTCTTCAGACTCAGCCAAATAAAATATCCTTGACCTTAGCAAAGGCCAAAAAATATCTCTGTGTCTAAGACATGAGAAGCCAAGGAGGAAGTACCAGAGTGCTATAACTTTAATCCCTCAATACTGAACCTGACCTGCTCCTCAAACAAACAGATTGAAAACAGGATCCATGGGCCCCAGACACAGTGTTGATTTGTTAAATAAATAATGGATAAAGGCTACATGTTCTAATAGCTACTGTCAGGGATGATATTCACACCTCTCTAAGGCTGAATCAATCACGCCAATGACTCCATGAGAGAGGAAATGTATCTAACTTTTCCTTAAAGTACAGATTCATTCAACAAATATTTATTGAACGGTGGATGTGTGTAATGTGCTGTGCTAGTACTACCCATTATTTCCTCGGTTCCAGGAAATTTGTCATTTGGGGACACTAATGAGCTAATGAGCTAATTCTACCTCCAGGTGAAAAGAAATTTATCATCCTAAACAATTCCCCATTTAGTCATTTTAGAAAGAGAGAGAGAGAGAGAGAGAGAGAGAGAGAGAGAGAGAGAGGCAATGTGGGATTATGGCTAGAGAGCAGGCCTCAGCTTCAGAGTCAGGAAGACCTGGCCAAAGTCCAGCTTCTGACATATAGTCTGTGTTTCTCTAGGCAAGTAACTTAACATCTCACAAGTTAACCTCTCACACCATCACAGGCACTCTAAGGCTGCTGACCTGTGGGAAAGGAAGGAAGGAAGATAGGGAGGAAGGAAGGAAGGAAGGAAGGAAGGAAGGAAGGAAGGAAGGAAGGAAGGAAGGAAGG